AAATATTTAGTATAAATAATATCAAATTTGGATTTCTTAAGATTTATCTGTAAATTAACAATATATAAATATATAAGAACCTTTTATATATATTTATTATAATCTTCAATATTCTCAGAATAAATAACGATATTGTTGAGATATGTAATACAAAAGTTGTTTAAATAATCGAATAATATATTATTTATATAATACTGATAAATAACTAAACTATTAATCAGATCAAAGGGTAAGACTTTACATTTGTAAAATCTATATTATATACGAAAAGTAATTGTCGGTATAGTCATCTACTGTACCGGAGCACTGGCACCGTACTAGCGAAGGGCTAGGGCAAGCCTTAGCGAAAGGGCTTCAATACACATATAGTCTCCATCATGTAGAATAGTAATCAACAAGCTTTTTATTGATATCAACACTGAACACCCGTCGGACTTTCTACCATCGTAGATCTGAAAGGTGTTCCCGTTGATACCAACAGTAATATACTCTTCAGATTAGAGATCTATACAAATATAATAAAATACTTAATGGATATTGTCGGAATATAGATTATACGATACTAGCGCATACGCTAGTATGCTTATAAGGGCTCTCTCTCTCATAGCTTTCATAGAGGTTGTCGTCAATAAGAGTACTATAGGAATAGCCATTATTGATCCGAACAACCCCACCGTAGTGAACCAACAGATATCAAGTTTTGTAGAAATCTTAATATCTTGAAGATATACAAAGGTTTTATTAATCAGAAAGAAAAAGTAGTAGTCCTTATATATCAAAGTATTAAGTTTACAATAATTAATATATAATTGTAGACTATTATTTGCTTTTTTGATAAATAGAATAGGAATAGCAAATAATGTTTGACTAGGTTTAATAAATCCTTTTACCAGATTATCAATTAGATAAATCTTGACTGTCTCAAGCTTATTAATAGATATCTTATAAAGAAATAAATAGTTTAAACTAATCTTGATTAAGTTCTCAAAAGTGATAACATAATTATAAATGTAATAAAAAAGTAAAATATTCGATTTTTATTTATTAAAAACATTATAAAAAACGGTATACTTATCAGAGATAAAAGGCTTTTCTGAAATAAATATAATCAATAATTTTAAAGCAGATTTGTTAAGATTCTGGTTAATTTTTGTAAAAACCTTTTTGGTAATAAATATCTCATTTTTTTTCATCTTGCTCCAAGAGTCTTTGATTAAGTAATGAATTTATTTCCTGAAAAATGTAGATAAATAATTCGTTCTCTAAAAATCTGGTATAGATAATTTCAAAGATATAAACTGAGATTTCATAAATATCTAACG